TGTGGTTCAACACTTTATCCCTCGAATTGCAATAAAGAGGTTTGTTTTTCATTCATGAATATTGTTTTTGATGACGAGGGCAACATTTAAAGTTCATTTACTTCAGTTTTTGGAAAGTAAAAAATGTGATATTCCAAAGTTTTTGTGGCAGAGGATCAAACAGTATTTCAACAGTAATGTTGTCTTTGAAAACTATTCTGCAAAGTGAAACATCTGTAAGAGATTGTATTCCAGTCACTATGAGTAAATCAGAGTTGGGATCCAAGGAAAAGTCTACAGAAGAGCAGAAGAATCTAGGAAAGTTATCGTGTTCCTTTCTCATCCTTCTGGCACTTAAAGCAGAGCTCCACCCAAAAGGGGACATTCCGCTTTAAAGACTGGTCCCCTGTTCCCCAGTAAGGATTGGCACCTTTTGAGGAGCAGGGTGGGAGCGGGTACCCGTTAACAGGTACCCGCTCCCATTTCTGCTGCAATCGACTAGGCGATCGGAAGCGGAAGTTGTCCTCCTACTCTCCCTCCCTGTAGTCTTCTGGGACACATGACAGGTTCCAGAAGACGACAGGGCCATTCAGGATGTGCAGCGCTACTCGCACATGCACAGTGGATACCCGGCTGTGAAGCCGCAAGCTGTCACAGCCGGGTGCCCACACTGCAGATGCCGATACCTGGGACACCAGATAGCTGGTGAAATGGGCTGTGGTGGGGGCACCGCGAGATCGTGGGACAGGTGAGTGGCTGTTTTTTTAAAAGTCAGCAGCTACAGTTTTTGTAGCTGCTGACTTTTTTTTATTTACAGTGTGAGTGGAACTCCTCTTTAAGATTTTATACTTTAAAAAAAAAAAAAAAAAAAAAATGTTGCTAATTACAAAAACTTTCCCAGTGACAGCCATCAATGAAACTATTATAGCGTTACAGCCATTAACCACTTGCCCTCCTGAGGATTTACCCCCTTCCTGACCAGGCCATTTTTTGCGTTACTGCTGCGTTAGTTTAACTGACAGTTGCGCTGTCATGCAACGCTGCACCCAAATGAAATTTACGTCCTAAAAAAAAAGACCGACAATTTAGAAAAAAAAAAAAATTATGACTTTTTGGTATTAAACATGTCCAGTAAAAAAAATTAAAAAAATCAAATTTCATCGTAAATTTATGGCAAAATGTATTCTGCTATATGTCTTTGCTAAAAAAAAAAAAAATCCCAAAACATGTAAATGAATTGGTTTACCTGAAAGTTATAGTGTTTACAAATGGCGATAGATATAGATATAGATATATATATATATATATATATATATATATATATATATATATATATATATATATATAAATATATATAGGGATTATTTTATTTTGCTAGTAATGGCAGTGTTATGTTCACAAGTTGACAGGGAGGAGAACTGTTTTGTTTACAAACAGTTCTCCTCCCTGTCGGAGGTGCTTGGCAATCACCGAGCGCCGGCGAGTAATCACTGGCTGGGACCCAGTGATTGACAGACGCGGCGCGGGTAGGGCACGCGCTCACGCCCCCCTACCCAGAAATGGAAAATCACATATATATGCATGATTTTGTGCACCCGTGCCACCCTGTAGCAGTATTTCTGCTATAGGGCGGTTGGGAAGCTTTTAATAGATGATTTATTTATTTTAAGTAATTAGAATAAGTAGAGGCAGTAGGGTTGATTTACTAAAGGCAAATATGCTGTTCAGTTTTCAGTTTTTGCACTTTGCAAGTAAGTTATCCCCAGAGCTTACTTAATGAGTAAGGGGAAAAATGCCATTTTTGCTTGTACATGATTGGATGATGGAAGTCAGCAGCACTTCACCTCATTTAATAAGCTCTGGGGAAAAATGCCATTGCAATATGCAATTTCCCTTGCAAACTGAACAATCTATATGCTTTTAGCAAAGTATCCCCAGTGTCTAAATAGTATATAGTAACGGAGGCCTAATTTGTGTAATCCAGACAAACAGAAGCTCGTTGCTTGAGCATTTGTAAAAACTCTGTAAGGAGGAAGTATAAAAGCTGCTTATTCTGACCTCTGCTTCCTAAAATACTGATTTCCTGAGTGTCCAGCTAATCCTATAGCTTCATTCCGATTTATGTAATGTATACAGATAAGGCGTTGGCTCATGTATTGAGGTCGGAGACAGGCATTTTTAAATTCTCAGCACATCTCAATACAGGTCTCCATTAGAATAGGTTCATATCAGATTGCCATGGGTCCTTATAAAATTGCCCCTGATTAGTATTTATGCTACCACTGTAATGACATGCACTCTTCTCACAAAGTACTAAACATTGCACCGTGTAACTTCTAAATGATTAAAATGTGAGCAGAGCTCGATTTCTGATCTCTATTGAGAAAGCAATATTGAGCATCTAGTATGTGGATTGTTTGATCCTTGTTCAGACACAAACCAGTTCCAATAAATCTGGCACAAATATGTGTTCCATGCAATCCCGTTGCAGTGAGTTTCCAAAAGTATTGCATTCTCTACTTTTTGGTGCAATGCAGTGTTATTTGAGCCCATTCAAAATGAACGCGCTCAACTTGCACTGCACTGAATCACATGTGAATTGCTCAGAAATGTGCTGCGCATTCCTTTGCGATTAATAGGCGAAATACTGTGAACCTAAGCTTAATGCTGGTCATTAATTTACTACATCTGTATGTGACTTTCAAGTGGCTGTAACCCTCAGACATGAAATATGGACAAAGCATATCCCTCTATAGTGTGTACTTGTCCCAATCCAGAGCAATGTCATTTCTGTCTGCTGCTTCATTTCTCTGCTATGAGCCTGATGAATCACTTCTGACAAGTTTTCCTGACGAGAAATATGGTGACGGGAAGGACCTCTAACAGATTGACAGCCTCAGCTCTGTTCCTGTGAGCTGTGGGAGGGGGGAGTGTCTCATCCCTCAGATTTAGCTCTGAGTCCCCCTCACAGAGTGTAACTTCAGCCCCCACCCCCTGCTTTTCAGAGCTGAAAGATCCTGTATAAATTTGAACTTTGGATGTAGGGGAAAGATAGCTATAGATAAACAGGTACAACTTTTGTGTAGGAGGATTTGTTTTATCTCTGTGTATCACCTGAGGCCAGTCACTTCACTAGGTATATGTAAGGGTTCACTGTCACTTTAAAGCACAACTCCAGCCAAAATATCTTTGAAATAGAGCAGGGTTGAAGCTTCTGCTATTGGTTTTGTATTCTCCTCTGTTAACCAATTGGCAAGATTTCCTCCAGCTTCCTGTCTGGACACGGAGTGATGAGAAATCTCTCTAAAAGGAGCACAGACAAAAACCGAAAGGGAGGAAGGGTTTGATAACAGCCTATCCAGAATCTTACAGTAATAGCCAGTTCTGAAGCCAAAGTGGGATAACACCTACTGTACATTTGTTACATGTCCGCATTCACATAGCATAACTAAAAAAAAAATATTTTAAAATTTGTAGGTTACCTTTTAGATGTTCTATTCTGGTCCCCCAGCAAAGAAAAATCCTACATTTGAGGGGGCAGGACATCAGTGTTTGCCATAATTAACCCTGTCTGTACTGTGCAGGCAGATGTTCATTATCAATTGTAACTAGACTTGAAACACTGTCTGTCCTAACAAAGGGTTAAAGGTCTAGGGGCTGGGATTCTTGCATTGTATTTTAATGAGAACAGACTTGGGACAGGCTTACTTTAACATGTTTTTATTTTTTTTATTCATGATGTTTGAATAGAAAAACATTATAATAGGGTTTTCTTAAATTTGACTGCAAAAGTGGAAATGTGCTGTAAATATTCCACACTTTAGCTAAACTAAAAAAACATTAACCACTTCCAGACCGGACATTTTTACCCCCTTCCTGTCCATGGCAATTTTCAGCTTTCAGCCGTATCACACTTTGAATGACAATTGCGCAGTCATGCCACACTGTACCCAAATTAATTTTTTAACATTTTTTTGAGACAGATAAAGCTTTATTTTGGTGGTATTTTGTCACTGCTGGGATTTTTATTATTTTTGCTATGTAAATGATAAAGTCCAAAAATTTTGAAAAAAAGTGTTTTGTTTTTTTAATTTTGCAAATAAATAATATTTTATCATAAATTTTGGTAAAAATTTATTCCGCTATCTTTTTAGTAAAAAAAAATCCAAATTAGTTTAACCAAAAATTATAATTTTTTACATTTTTTTTTTTACATTTTTATTTTATTTTTTTATATTTTTTTTTTTTTTTTTTTTTTTTTTTTTTACACTGATTGCTTTTACACCCATATAGGATGTAAAAGCAATCATTTTCTCTTTCTCTCTGTCTGCATTCTTGCAGTCATTGAAAAATACAGAGTGAGCTGTGACTGGTCACAGCTTGTCACATGGTACAAGGCTGTTGTGAATAGCCTTGTACCATGTGACCTCTGTGATCATTCACAGAATTCACAAGTAGTAAGCAATGATGTCACAAGTGACATCTTGCTTGCTACTTTGCATGTGATCACTGATTGGCCAATCAGTGATCACATGATTGGGACCTCGTACAGAGGTCCCGTCCGACAATCGGTGTTTCACTGTGTCCGGAGGACACAGCGGGCACCGGATCGCGGTGCTGTGCGCTCCCGGGAGCGCGCGCACAAGCACGGTGCGGGGAGGCCGTTTATAAACGGCCACCCGACCCTGCACTGCCACCGTCCAGCCGTTTATATACAACGGCCGGTCGGGAAGTGGTTAAGGAGCGGGGCATTATTCGATTTTATATCTGCATATTTTAATCTAGAGTACTAGCTTTACTTGTTTGAAAGCTGGTAGAAGGGGAATCTATAGAACTTTATATGAAATACTATCTTGAAAATATGTTATAGATCAGTAAAAATCAAAAAATTGGATGGGCAAACTTTATCATTACAATTTAAAATGTTTGTTGGCTGAATAGATTTCTTCTAAACTCTGAATATACAAGATTTGGCATAAATGTTTCAAAGGATTAAATTTCCTATGCTTTTTTTTTTACAGCACACTGCAGGATGACTTTTTCATTCTTCATGAGCAAGAATATGATAGTCTGTTGGAATCGCTGTTCAAGACCGAATTCATAAGTCTCTTATCCAAGCACTACGAAGAGAAAACCCAAAGAAAACTACCTCTGAAGTTCAATAATACGTGAGTAGCTTCCATATCCAATATAAGCACAGCAGCGGGGAACAAAACACTGAGGCTGACCCCAACTTTTAGATACGCTTTTATTAGTAACCTCCCTGTAACACTTAATCCTCAATCTAACCCTGAAACGTAATCTTAACCTGCCCCAAACACCGTGCCCTTAACATACCCCAACCCTAAAGTGTATTTCCAGCCATAACATTTTTTTTCTGCTATCCAGGACTCTGTAACAGAGATTATTACTCACACAGTTACATCACTTACTACACAGTGACAATGGTTTCACAAGAATTCACATGAGGGAAAAATCTGCAACAGGGATATAGAGAGCAAAAAAGCTAACTGTCAAAGTTCCTGATCCGCATACGTGGAAATGATCTTCCAAGAAGGGAACTGGTTCAAGCATCTAAGAGCAGAATATTTTCTTAAAAATAAAAAAAAAAAAAAAAAAGGCTTCTAAAAAATCTAGTAGTATGTTGATCCAATGTCTAACTTTGAAAACATGGTATTCAGTCAAATCCTATAAAACTGGTCTCTAAGTTTTTTTTGGTTTTTTTTTTTCCTCTGTCCTTACCCAAGGGAAGACCTCTAGACTTGCCCAGGTCAAATAATGTTGGCATAAAGGTATCGCTGAGCTAGACTGGAAAGTACTTCATAACTCATACTCGGTATGGTTATTTAAGTGAGGGACAAGCTACCTCCTAGATTGTAAGCTCCAAGGATCAGGGCCCTCCTAACCCTCTTGTATTGAACTGTATTGTTGCTGTATTGTCTCCTGTTATATTGTAAAGCGCTGAGCAAACTGTTGGCACTATATAAATCCTGTATAATAACAATAATAATACACCTCAGATACTTTCATAGAGCATATGTTACACCCGCCAAATTTAAAATAAAAGGAGACCCCCCCTCCCTGTGTCACAAATGTCAAATAAATGAAGAAACTACTGTTCATATGGTATGGGAGTTTGACAAAATCAGGCCTTTGTGGCCAAAGCTTACAGAATGTTTTCCTGACAATTTTGCAACACCAAATATCTACAACCTTACAAGGAGTATATTGGGTATACCAGCCTTTCTCAACTAGGGTGCCTTGAGGGTTCTTCAGGGGTGCCTTGGCAAAATGTCTAAAAATTGCCCAAAACTTGTATACAAGCTGGTGGACATTGTGCACCATTATGACCTTCTAGCCGCTGGCATCCTGACAACCAATGATGTCAGTTGATAAGGAGGATGTCAGCTGCCTGCACAGCATCCTAGATTGACCCTACCCTGCCCCTCCATCAGTGCTGGGCTCACATTAGCTCTGTGATTGAGAAAAACTGAGAGAGAAGAGAAACATTGGAATACTAGTAAGTAAGTAAGTTTCTTTGGAAGAACAAATCACCTCCTAATGTTGGGTGTTCTACATGTGTGGATGTTGCTGTGTTATATAAAACTGATAGGATAGTTTTTCACATTTTAGAACTGGTGCCCTTTTAAAATTATGGACAGTCTAGAGGCACCCCATTTTAGAATGGGGTGCCTCAAGACTGTCCATAATTTTAAAGGGTGCCTTGACTGAAAAAAGGTTGAGAAAAACTGGGGTATACTGAGAGATGCGGAATTAGAAAATGCAAAGAAACTATTCCTAAGGTTACTCCTTTTATATGCTAGGGAAGACCATAAACCATAGTTCTGAATTGGATACATACTGATGCACTTAATTATTAATATGCTATAAAACCTTGTAAACAGTTATACTGCTTTATGTTAACTTACAAAGCCAGAGACTGCCCCAGTAAATTTGATTAAATACGGTCAGACGGAGTTAAGTCCCTGAATACTAGCATACAGCAGTAACAAACATAAGGTTTACTCCGACATATTAACTATATATGCACAAGTTCTCTATTGATATAATCTGGATGTGCAAAAAAATGACAATAAAAATGAGTTGGTTAACTTGCAGATTCCTTATTTTAAAATAATCAGATGTATAATTACACACTGACATGATGACCTAATTAATGTTTAGAACGCTGGAAAACTTTGATTATTCTGTAAACCAATAAGCTCATTATTACATATATAAATCTCTTCTGTCCTCTACCACCGTACTGACGTATGTCATTTCATATATATGTGTACTTTTAATTTGTGTATCCAATAAACTCCATTAAAAAAAAAAGTTACAAAAATGCTGTTTCTTTTAACATCTTAAAAGAGAGGTTCACTAAAGCATTTTCAGTGAAAAGGGAGTTCAATGAGCCTTCTGTGTTAATATTACGTATTCAGAGACTATGTTCCACTGAAGTAAAGATCCTCTGCCAGCTCCAAATTTACCATGGACTCAAGTCAGGAAGCTTAGTATGTCATTCCATCTGAAGGGTACCAGTCAAAGAAGTGCTCCAAAAAGAGAAACTGAAATGTTGTTTTTGTTGGCTTTTTTTTTTTCTTTTTAATGTATGCTTGTTTGTACAGTTGTACAGATAATTAAAGTGTTACTAAACCCACAACCGTAAAATCAATCTGTATATGCAGTAAAGCATGCTTGTTATATTCACTGTGGAACCTAAGGGGTTAATCCTCTGCATTGTGTAAAAAAGCAGTTTGATCCTGTCTTCTCTGATGCTCCCCTTCTACAATCCCCAATCCATCTTCTGATAGAACAGAGCCTTTGGGGCAAGCTGGGCATGCTCAGTTTGGTGTGTATTGCTAAAGTGTTTTGGTTTTCTTGGTAGAGTGTATGTGATCAGCAGAGGGACAATTAGCCCTGTCCAGACAGAGAAAGGGTTCTGCATCCTCATAGGACAATCTGGGTAGAATGAAAACTCCTCCTACAATCTGTAACAGTGCTCTGCTGGACACTGATAGAAGTCACAAGATTGCAGTTTATATTTACTAAAATAATTGCATTTCCATGTTCTGTGTACTGTGGGAGACCAGATATAGTGACTGTAGGGTACTGGGCTTAGTAACACTTTAATAAAGTGCGCATGAATGGAAAATGACTCCCACCATATTATAATTTTTTTCCTGAGAGGGCACAGCAGTAGCTTTTTACTTTCAGATTCTTAAACTCTTAGAGAGAGGGTGTGGATAATGTGAAAAGGCAAAGTTTGCTGATTTCATTAAAAAAATAAAATATTCATATGCATATTTATCTAAATAAAAATAATAAAAATGCACCGTACATAAAGAATATATACAAACTGCTATACAGTGAGTTTAACAAACACTTTTATCCTGAGAGGGATCATATCGGTACACATGCTTCCACTCCAAACCATTAATTTCAGCTCTGTTTGTATGGCATTCACAATTTACCAGTAAGAAGCAAGACATTTTAACATACAATGGAGAAAATAACAGTTATAAGTAATACTAAATTTGATGAAAATAAAGGTCTGCCATCATATTTATTCTGATTTCTAATTTAATTCTGTTTAGGCTTGAAATGAAGTTAAAGAAAGAATCTTGGGGCCCATGGAGTGGAGGAAGTGGCTCCCGACAGGTACAGTTTGTTCAAGGGTTTGGAGATGTAGCCATACTGAAACACAGCAATAAGGTGCTACAGGTCAACATTGGTCCAGGCCTTCCAAAGAACTCTCGTAAGTATATTCTGATTATATACAGTAGGTTTACACTATCTTCATTCTGCCACTCACTAACCAGACTAAAGCTGGCCATACATGGTTCCGTTATTTTCATTCAGCCAGTGGGCTGAACGAAAAACACTGAACTGATTTTCCCCATCCAAACATTTGAGGTGGATGGGGGAATTTTCCACGCTGTGCTATTGTATTCTCACAGTAGGGAGACTTCCTCGCTGCCCAAATACATAGATCAGTGCTGCAGTTCCTGATTGAGCGGCTTTTAACTGACCGGTAGATAGACTTCTGTTCAACTTCAGTGGCCACACGTGGATCGAAATTCAGCTGGTCCCTGCTGAACTGGGCAAATTTCAATCCATCTGTGGCCACCTTTAGATTAGTGGAAAGGCTACATAGACCTAGTAGTGTCCCTATTTTACAGCAATCCTTTTCTGTTAATAGCCTACAATAGCCAACAGAGCTTGTAAATGTAATTCTAAATTCATTTTGCAGTATGCCCACAATATTTTATATAGTGAATTGAAGTGAAGTCATGGCCTGGAGGTTTCCACTGCCTATACCATCCAATTTACCACAGTTCTGTATAAAATCAGATTTCTGCTTTTGCACTATAAACATGTCAATTCATAAAGATGTTTATAGCACTATGAAATAGTATAACTTCATAGAATTCTGTGAATTCAGTCATCAAAGAAGCGTTTAGTGTCAGAGTTTCCAAGTACAATATAAATTTGAGTAGCATAAATACAGTTGGGTATAGAAAAAGAATTTCTGAGGGGAGGGATGATGTTTGATTGTCAATATTGCTGGGAAGGCATAAAAAAATTATCTGATTTCGCCATCTATTGTGTGAAGATTAATTTCCAATCATCCAGTCAAGTGAAAAGAAATTATTTAATCTATACCTGATTGGATAATTGAAGTGAATATTTACTTATGCATGCTTTGGCCTCCTTCCAAATCAACTGGGTATAGGATTATAAATTTCTTTTTTCTTTTTTTTTTAATGGTTGAACTGAATGGACTTTTTTCAGCCAGACTAACTATGTAACAATTTGTGTGTACTTTCTGAACACCTTCAGTAAATCGGATATTTTAGTTCAATACCACCAAGACTGTGTTTTTTTTTTTGGGGGGGGGGGGGGGAGTTTCTCATAATATGTTGAATGAGAAAAATTTTTGACTTTGACAAAGACTGGTCATAGACCGTGACTATAGAAAAGTACAGAACAAAGAAAACATGTCACAAGGGATAGAATACATACTATATCCCATTACAATATACCAAATAAAACAACAAAATGCAGAACAGAATTAAAAATAAAAACAATTATCTTGGCAGACAAGATTCCCTGGAATGTAGGCAGACTTGATTCTAACCATTGCTTTGTTGTGTATGGAAGCAGAGCCCACACCATGAAAAACCATACTTTAAATATTTGCTAAATATCTGGTTATTGCTCAGCGGTATCCCAATAAACGTACCCAATCCAATAATATATCAGTCCAGGTCCCTCAAGTCAAAAGGAGGGGGAGGGAAAAAAAAGGAGGGGGACAGTGGAGTGAAGAGCTATGTAGTAGATGGAAGCAGAGAGTAACAGGGGAACTTCCCCTCTGTTGAGAGGTCCATGGGGGAAGTTTGGGAAGCTTCAGCTGGCTGAAGTTGCCGAATAAAAGAATTAGACTTCATGAGGACCCCAACCTCTCAGTATTGACACTTGGGAGCCCTTTTGCTGTGTGCTACATACTCCACTCTCCACCCACTGCACAGTCATAAGCCACACCTACTGAGAGACCCTATCTGTCTGTTCCTCTTATACAGAAGCTCATTCCTCTGTCTGTGACATGATCTGCCTGTATGAATCTGTGGACTTAAAATCGATCCAGCCTGCCCAGATTTTTGTAAAGGAGGACATTCTGTCTTGCGAGATATGAATGGATTCTACTGTCTCTTCTGTTCTATTCAATCTAGCAAACCATTCCTGCAGACTTGGGGGACTAGTGTCTATCTAATGAGTTGGTATACACAGCCTAGCTGTCTTGATCATGTCAACCGTCAGTGATTTCCTGTAGTTCCACAGTGATTGTCTATTAAGGTGCAGGTAGCAGGATTTCTCAACCAGGGCTCCATGGAACCCTAGGGTTCCCACAGAGGTTGCTAGGGGTTTCTTGAGCAATTTTTGCCTCTCAGATAAGTTCCCACTGACACCATTGATCTTTTTAGCTATCTGTCAGGGGGTAATTCTTGCTAGTGACCACAAATGCAAGGAGCATTTTTCCTACTACCCAAGTATCATGAGTTGTAGATATAGTAACTTTTAGCAGGGGTTCCCTGAGACTGGGAAGTTATTTCAAGGGTTTCTGTGGTGAAAAGGTTGAGAGGCTGCTCTAGAGCAAACTTCATATAGTGATGGTGGTGGACCATGCCTGCCTTATGTGTCAACACAGCATCTTGTGCTCTTCACTGGGGGCACATATGACAGGATGACAACAGAATTGAGAAACTGAGGCAGAGCATTGTCACCTTGTAACAGGAAGTACCTAAACATGGAAGGACCACCAGGGATTGTTTTAAGAAAAGTTGCAGATGTAACCATTCCTTCTGAATTGTCTATATTATGTTAACCATTTGCCCTCCAGAGGATTTATCCCCCTTCCTGACCAGGCCATCTTTTGTGTTACGTTGCTGCGTTACTTTAACCAGTTCCCGCTCGGCCTATGGCCGAATGGCGGCTGGCAAAAACCCTCGTTCCTCCGGGTGGACGCCATATGACTTCCTTTCAGGCATGCGCAGTTTGCATGCCAGCAGAGCCGCGTAGCAGCAAGATCTGTCACCGGCCGTGTACCTCGGACATGGCCGATGACAGATCTGTGTACTGGCCCCGTTGCCAGTACCATGTGACCTGCTGTGACCAATCACAGCAGGTCACATGACAGTTGTATACAATTATTACTATACAGTATTTATAAAGCGCCAACAGTTCACACAGCGCTGTACAATGGATGGCTTCCTATCATGCCATCCATTGTATACAAGTGTGGATAGCTGTGAATGGTCACAGCGATCACATGCACAAGCTGGGCCAATCACAGTTAAGAAAAAAAAAAATTCCTGAATGAATCGATTTCATTCAGGTAAATGCTTGCTTATAGCAAAGTAATTCTTTTCTATAAGCAAACTGTGTAAAAAAAAAAAAAAAAAAAAAAAAAAAAAAAAGTTACTATGGTAACATTATACTACTTTGGTCATAGTGAAATATGAAAACAAAATCTTAAAAAAATGTAATAAATAAAAAAAAAAAGTAAAACAAATTATCAATTTTTTTTTTTCCGTACTGTCACCAGTCAGTGTCCCTGATCACCGGCATGCCAGTTATATGATGACTCTGTACTGCACTGGTGACAGTATGTTAAAAAAAAAAAAAAAAAAAAACTGTGAAAATAATTTTTTTTATTTCTTCATTTCTGAAAAATTATGACAAAAAAATTACAACTTCAAAAAACTCGCCATGCCTGTTATGAAATACATCGGACTGTCTTCTTTGCAAAAAGGGGTCATTTGGGGGATATCTGTACTGTTCTGACTTTCTTTGAACTCAAGAAATTAGATTGGCTGTCAGAACTTCAGGATTGATCAATATTCAGACCTATACCATAGTTTGTGAACTCTATAACTTTCCTACAGACTAAATAATAAATACTAATTTGGGTTATTTTCACCAAAGACATGTAGTAGAATACATTTTGGCCTAAATTTATGAAGAACAATTAATTATTTGCAAACTTTTATAACAGAAACAAAGAAAACCGTGGGGTTTTTTTTCAAATTTTTGGTCTTTTTTTGTTAATTTAGCAAAAAATAACCCCAGCAGTGATTAAATACCACCAAAAGAAAGCTCTCGTTGTGTGAAGAAAATGCAAAAATTTTAGTTTGGGTACAATGTTGTATGACCGCGCAATTGTCATCCAAAGTGTGAGAGCGCCGAAACCTGAAAATTGGCCTGGGCAGGAAGGGGGTAAAAGTGCCCTGTATGGAAGCGGTTAACTCACAATTGCACCATTATGCAACTCTGCACCCAAATGAAATTTACGTCCTTTTTTTTCTCACAAATAGAGCTTGCTTACAGTGGTATTTTATCGCCTTTGTGTTTATTTTTTGCACTAGAAATAAAAGATCGACAATTTTGAGAAGCAAAGCAATATTTTTGACGTTTTGCTTTTAAACATGTCCAGTAAAAAAAAAAATTTTAATCAAATTTTGGCATAAATTTAGGCCAAAATGTATTCTGGTACATGTCTTTGCTAAAAAAAAAAAAAAAATCTTAATCCATATAAATTAATTGGTTTACGTGAAAGTTATAGTGTTTACAAATGGCGGTGTGTATATATATATATATATATATATACAGTTGCAAGAAAAAGTATGTGAACCCCTTGGGATTACGTGGAGTTTTGCATGAATTGGGCATAAAATGTGCTCTGAACGTCATCTAAGTCACAACAATAGAAGAACACAGTCTGCTGAACGTAATACGACACAAACATTAGATGTTGCCATGGTTTAATTGCACATAACATGTAAACATTCACAGTGCAGGGAGGAAAAAGTATGTGAACCTTTGGACTTAATAACTGGTTGACCATCCTTTGGCAGCAATAACCTCAACCAAACGTTTCCTGTAGTTGCAGATCAGACCTGCACAACGATCTGGAGTCATTTTGGACTACTCCTCTTCACAAAACTGTTTCAGTGTAGCAATATTCTTGGGATGTCTGGTGTGAATCGCTCTCTTAAGGTCATGCCACAGCATTTCAATGGGGTTGAGGTCAGGACTCTGACTGGGCCACTCCAGAAGGCGTATTCTGTGCTGTTGCGGCCATTGTTTTGTTGAATTACTTGTATGCTTTGGGTCATTGTCCTGTTGCATCACCCATCCTCTGCGGAGCTTCAGTTGGCGGACAGATGGTCGTACGTTTTCCTGCAAAATGTCTTGATAAACTCTGGAATTCATTTTCCCATCCATGACAACAATCTGTCCAGGCCCTGAGGCAGCAAAGCAGCCCCAAACCATGATGCTCCCTCCGCCATGTTTTTACAGTGGGGATGAGGTTTTGATGTTGGTGTGCTGTGCCTGTTTTTTCTCCACACATAGTGTTGTGTGTTCTTCCCAAACAACTCAATCTTGGTTTCATCTGTCCACAGTATATTTTGCCAGTAGTGCTGTGGAACATCCAGGTGCTCTTTTGCAAACTTCAAACGTGCTGCAATCTTCTTTTTGGACAGCAATAGCTTCCTCCGTGGTGTCCTCCCATGTACTCCATTCTTGTTTAATGTTTTCCTTATTGTAGATGTGTCAACAAAAATGTTAGCATGTGCCAGAGATTTCTGTAGGTCTTTAGCTGACACTCTGGGATTCTTCTTTACCTCATGCAGCATTCTGCGCTGAGCTCTTGCAGTCATTTTTACAGGACGACCACGCCTAGGGAGAGTAGCAACAGTGCTAAGCTTTCTCCATTTGTAGACAGTCTGTCTTACCATGGACACGTGAACATCAAGGCTCAAGGAGATACTTTTCTAACCCTTTCCAGCTTCATGCAAGTCAACAATTCTTGATCGTAGGTCTTCTGAGAGCTCTTTTCTGCGAGGCATGGTTCACATCAGACAGTGCTTCTTGAAACCAGTAAACCCAAAACAGGTGTGTGTTTTTTAAGGGCAGAACAGCTGTCAGCAACACATCCAATATCATCACACTGATTGGAGTCAAGGTTGGCTCACTCCTGGCTCCAATTAGCTCTGGGAGAAGTCATTAAGCTAGGGCCTCACATACTTTTTCCTCCCTGCACTGTGAATGTTTACATGTTATGCGCAATTAAACCATGGCAACATCTAATGTTTGTGTAGTATTATGTTCAGCAGACTGTGTTCTTCTATTGTTGTGACTTAGATGACGTTCAGAGCACATTTTATGCCCAATTCATGCAAAACTCCACGTAATCCCAAGGGGTTCACATACTTTTTCTTGCAACTGTGTATATGTGTATATATATATATATATATATATATATATATATATATATATATATATATATATATATATATATATATATATATATATATATATATATATATAATGGGGGTGATCAGCAACTTATAGTGGGACTGCGGCGGGCATTCTGACATTGGGAGGAATAATGGATTCCACATTATTTCATTATTTTAGTTTTTATGTTCACTTCCTAAAAGATTTCAGTTTTGTTTTTCAATTGAGTTGTACAGTTTATAGGTTACATTAAGGTGGAAAAAGTTCTGAATTGATTTATCTTTGTCTCAGTTTTTTTTACATCAGACATTTTACACTTTATATGCACTGTATATGAGGTGTCCGTGACCAGGTTTACATTTGCTTTTAAAGAAAATGTGAGATTTGATGTAAATCTAGGCACCAACTGATTGGCCCAATTTATGATGAACCTGAGTTTTTCCTTTTCCTTTTTACAGATTTCTACTTGTAACTTTTACTTTTTGTTTTTTTTGTTTTTTGTTTTTTCAATCTTGAAGTCTTGATATAAGACAGGTTCTCAGTCTGCAAATAACTTGCATAGCTTCCCTTTTCTTTATGTTGATGTAGTCCATATAAAATATGATTTATAATATCTAGAGGACATTGCATAATCTGCCATCTACTGCACATTGTGTATTCAGCTTTACAGTCAATGAATATTGAGATGGTTGTAAACCATATTTTTGTAGAAGTTGGAATCCATTATGCATGCAAAATAGAATGATTGCCTCTTATTGTGTGTTAAAATGGCATTGATTACTGTAAACCGTTTTCAACCAAGATCAGCCTAAAACTACTTACTCTGAGAAAATGTACTCGGTGCCCAATGGTAACTGTATGTTTAAATCCTCCTCTGATGTACCATAAGCGCTAACAGCGCTTTTATGTAGATAATTCCCTTTTGTCTTCCTTGTGTTCCAGGGCCCACAAGGAGAAATGTTGTTGATGGAAGAAATAACACAAATAAAGTCAAGTCCTATCCAAGCAGAGCTGCTCCACCACCACCAGGTACAGTATTATTTGTATTAACAGGGATGGTGAGCTCCCATTGATTCCCTTTAAATATTATGTTATATACCCTGATCAGCTATAATTTTATGACCACTGACAGGTTAAGCAAATAACATTGATTATCTTGTTACAATGGGATCTGAAAGTCGGTGGGATATATTAGGCAGCAAGAAACATGCTGTCCCTGAAGCTGATGTGTTGAAGGCAGAAAAAATGGGCATTGCAGTTTGTTGTATATGGAGCTGCGTAGTCGCAGATCAGTCAGGGTGCCCATGCTGACCAGTGTTCATAGCCAGAACTGACTACAATGGACACATACGCATCAGAACCTGGACCACGGAGCAATGGATGAAGGTGGCATGGTCTGATGAATCACATGTGGATGGCTGGGTGTGTGTGTGTCGTTTACCTGGGGACAGGATGGCACCAGGATGCAATATTGGAAGAAGGCAAGCCAGCAGAGGCAGTGTGATTCTTTTGGGCAATGTTCTGCTGGGAAACCTTGGGTCCTGCCATTCCTGTGGATGTTACGTGACACGCACTCCATACTCAAACATTGTTGCTGACCAAGTACACCCCTTCATGGAAACCGTATTTTCTGATGGCAGTGGCTTCTTTCAGCAGGGTAATGTGCTCTGCCAGTGATTCAAAAGCGGGGTGAGGAACACAAGAATGAGTCCAAGGTTGACTTGCCTCCAAACTCTCCAGATCTCAATCCAACTGTGCATCTGAGGGATGTGCTGGAAAAAAAAGTCCTATCCATAAAGGCACCACCTTGCAACTTGCAGGACCTAAAGGGTCTGCTACTGACGGCTTGATGCCACATACCACAGTATACCTTCCATGGTCTAGTGACATCCATGCCTCGATGGATCAGGGCTGTTTTAGTGGCAAAAGGGAAATGTTAGGAGGGTGGTCATAAGTGTACAGCATAAAAATACTTTAAAGGAAATGTAGGTGTTTTTAATATAACCGTTTTGTTTTTGTTCTGATCTGAAAAATACATTTACACCTGTGCAAACATATAGACTCATTATATATGTATTTGCAATTTCTTTTTTAGTAGAAAATGAGTACTGAATATACAAAGCTTTGCTGTGGTATATTGCATTATAAGTGAGTTTGGAAACTGGTGTCATACTAAATTATATAGTTTCAGTAATTTTTTTTTTTTTTCATTGTAAAAGGGTCTCATCAAAATGGGGTGATACAGAGTTCCCAGTATGGGCATCAGCAACCGAAACATGGAAGGCAATATAGTAACTCTAGAACAAACCATCCTTCTATGGACCACCCAACTTTACCAAGGCAAGTGGCTGGAGCTTCAGCCAGAAATCTACAGCAACCACAAAGCTTGGATTGTCTGCGTGTGCCAGACCAAGGTGTCGCAGGGTAAGATGTATTCAGTACTGTATTAAAGATGCCGTGTCCTAAAGTGTGTGTGTGTATGTGTGTATATATGTATGTATGTGTGTGTGTATATATATATATATATATATATATATATATATATATATATATATATATATATGTATATGTATGCATGTGTATATATATGTGTGTGTGTATATATATATATATATATATATGTGTGTGTGTATGTGTGTGTGTGTGTATATATTTTTTTTTTTTTTATAAAGTATGGAACAGTTAAAATCCTTGCCAGGTTTTTTTCCTCCCAATGTGAGGGAAACAACCTTTTTAAGGCTCGTTCACACCAGAGCAGCGTATGGGAAAACTGTGTTCGGTGCTTGTTTGTTTCCCACATTGTGTTTAAAATGTATTGGGTGTGTGAACCTCTGCGGTTGTCCAGTGTATTCCTAACAACACTCCAAACACAAGATCACAAACACAGTGCATTCGCCTGCACTGGATTGCATGGTACTGAGGAACCGTGTGATCAAGTGCAAGCGAATGCACTGCGTTTGTGATCTGTGTTTGGATGAATCAAATGAATAGGCTGAAAATCACACCCCATTGAGTTGCACAGGACTGTAGACCATGTTCTTGTGTGATTCCGATGTGAACCAGCTCTTAAGACCGGTTTTCTCACAAAACTGTCACATGCTCTGCTTTTAATTTTGCTTTTAACATGCTGTTGCCAAAGTCTCTTCTTTAAAGTGGAGCTAAAGGTATTAATACTTGTCCAATATTTTTTTTTTTCCCCGGAATAAGTATTCCCAGGTGGAAGATTTCTCTTTAGAGAAACAGAATGAAACAATTGAGAATTTAAGCCTGAACCTTTGCATTTTCTTTTTTTTTTTTTTAGTTATGCTTTAAAGCAGAACTCCAGTTAAAACATTTTTGTTTTCCCATGCAGTGGGGCTGTGCCCGCACTGCATGGGTTAAATATTCGTTTTGTCTAGAGGCTTAGGGTAAAGCTATACTTACCCATTCCTCCGGAAAACGCACCCTCACATCCAGCGTTGGACTGTTCCTGCCATCCTCACTTTCGGATTAGGTAAGTATATCCTTACTTTCTGAGCCCCTAGACAAAAACAAGCATTTAACCCGTGCAGTGTTGGCACAGCTCCACTGCATGGGAAAATAAAAAATTTGCCCGGATTTCTTCTTTTAAAGAGAACATGGCCTAACCTTTTGTGGCTGTACTTCCCTTTTTGGATCAAAAATAAATTAACTTTTGTTCTCCTGTGACCCAGAGTCACCTGATTGTCAACATTGTCAGGAGCCACCTGTCTGCTAGTTTGATAGCTGGCTCCACATTTCAGGGTACAACTTAGACTTGGAGCCAGCCATGGTCACCACCCAAGCCTGGCACTCTGAGTGCCGGAGGAGCAGAGTGGAGAGCAATGACTGACCGTCAATCCTCTCAGCTATGAGCAGACAGAGAGCTGACTGATCAGAGGTCACGTGATAGCTCAGTTCTTAGTCTTGGCATGGGACAACTGCAGTGACACACCTATACTGCAGCATAGAGGCAAGTATGAATGTATTTTTTTGTACCCCAGATTTATCCTTTTTTAAGTTGATTGTCTGATTACATTCTTATAATACCACTTTGGGAAAGCCTCCATTAGTTCTATCGCTTCATCTTGCCATGCTAGAAAATGTTATGATTAGATAGTAATATGTGAATGTAGCATTCCATAAAACAGTTACATGTCCCTCTTTTTAATTTTTGTTTTTAACGTGCTTTTGCCCAATTCCCATATTTAAGGGGAGCTTTAGGTATTAATACTTGTCCAACGGCCCCACAGCAGCACCAGCATCTTCATCTGAGTGCTGGTCTTTGGGCTTCTTCATTGGCCAGAGCGGGATGACGTCACTCCCAACACTCACAGACCAGCACTGTAAGTTGAGCTGCACATGTGCAGCTCAGTTTACAGTGCCAGAGAACACAGTGAGCGGGCAGGTAGGGGCATTTTATTTCAGATGAGATATTGCACGCCTCTTCTGCAATAAAAGCCTGCCTGCTTGCTGTTTTTTACAGCGGAACTTTAGTTGCGCTTCAGTGACCTGACAGAAGATATAAAATTTCTCATAAAGGTCACTTTTCTTGTTAGCTTACCAGAGGAATTGAGTAGAAGAGGGTGATCAGTCCATGTATTTCCTGTAGTATGGGCGGAGGTTTAACCACTTCCCCACCGGCCGTTGTATATAAACGGCCGGACGGTGGCAGTGCAGGGTCGGGTGGCCGTTTATAAACGGCCTCCCCGCATCCTGCTTGTGTGTGCTCCCAGGGAGCGCACAGCACCGCGATCCATTGCCCGCTGTGTCCTCCGGACACAGTGAAACACCGATCGTCGGACGGGACCTCTGTACGAGGTCCCGATCATGTGATCACTGATTGGCCAATCAGTGATCACATGCAAAGTAGTAAGCAAGATGTCACTTCTGACATCATTGCTTACTACGTGTGAAATCTGTGAATGATCACAGAGGTCACATGGTACAAGGCTATTCACAACAGCCATGTACCATCTGACAAGCTTTGACCAATCACAGCTCACTCAGTAGTTCTCAATGGCTGCAAGAATGCTGACAGAGAGAAAGAGAAATGATTGCTTTTACATCCTACAATGATTGCTTGTAAAAGCAATCAGTGTAAAAGAAAAAAAAAAAATCTTCATCGCCCCCCAAAAATAGTAGTGTCACCATGGTGACACTGTACTGCTAGGGTGACAGTATGTAAAAAAAAAAAAATAATCTCAAAATATAAAAATGTAAAAAAAAAATTTAAAAATAATTTTTGGTTATAAACTAATTTGGCTTATTTTTTTTTTACTAAAAAGATAACGGAATAAATTTTGGCCAAGAAGTATTATTTATTTGCAAAATTTTATAAGAAAAACACTTTTTTTTTAATTTTCATTTACATAGCAAAAAAAATAAAATCCCAGCGGTGAATAAATACCACCAAAATAAAGTTTATCTGTCTCAAAGAAATGGTAAAAAACTCATATGGGTACAGTGCTGCATGACCGCGCAATTGTCATTCAAAGTGTGATAGCGCTGAAAGCTGAAAATTGCCCTGGTCAGGACGGGGGTAAAAGTGTCCGGTCTGGAAGTGGTTAAGAACAGTGCTTGTCAAAAAGGCTTCAACAGTTACTTATTTTAATTATGAGATTATGAAGCAGAACCTTTTATTCTAACAGTCTAAAGTATTTATTTCCTTCCTTATTTTAGAGATGATACCTACAACCTTTTATAACTTACACTTTTGTTGTACTATTAGTGCGTATTTGCTGGTAAAGTACACATAGAAAAGTATAATTCACAGTCATTTATGCCATACCTGCAGCCAAAATTGCTATTCCTACCATTGAAATATCAAGGTACAACCTGACCACTGCAAGCTGCTATCAATGGGCTGCTCAGTTTAACCTCCAGGAAGTAAGCGGATGAGAGTGTGACTGCTGTGAAGGGAGTTCAACATAAGGAGTCTTTGTTCACGTTCCTGTCCTTTGAAGGCCTGAGACCTCAAAACATACAAACCACTACAATGTGCACACATGATCAGAAAGTAGCTTCTATTCTCTTAGGACCAAAGGAATATGTGAATCAAGTCCCTGCAACTCTATCCTACCTACAAGGTTTATATGGGAATTCAGCAGTATTACATATCAACAGAAACCATTACAACTGATAACATTTTATAATATTGTCAATTGGTAAAATACCATAGATATAGTAAAACATGAGGCGCTGATATGTATCCACCTTATTTGCATGTTCCCTCCATTCCATGCCCCAACATTGACAGTAGGCGGATTCACAATTTCTACCACAAATGCATAATTCTTGTTCTTATTCAATTAATATTCTACAGGATTTACATTGCGCCAACAGTTTGCTGTTATATATAAAAGGAGCCAGGACAGTTGCAATAAAATACAAGAGGGTTAAGAAGGCCCTACTCAAAAGAGCTTACAATCTAGTAAGGTGGGGTAAGTGGTACAAAAGGTAATAGAGAAGAGTTTTCAGGGACTGCCTAAAGGCGGCTTGAGTAAGAACCAGACAGATTGAGGTAGAGAGTTCCAGTGAATGAGAGAGGCTCTGGAGAAGTCCTGGAGACAAGCATAGGGGAGGAGACAAGAGAACTTGGGAGTAGGAGCTCTTGGAAGGAGCAGAGAGGATGATTTGGGTGACTTTTTGAGACCAGATTGATGATGTTGCACAGGGCAGGGTTTTGTATGGCTTTGTATGTTGTTAGTACTTTTAATTTAATTTTCTGGGCAATCGGAAGCCAGTGGAGGGATTGGCAGAGAGAGGTGGCACACTAAGCGGTTTTTTACGGTGAGTAGTTTGGTGGTTTCATTAGTTAAAAAGGGACAAATTTTAGAGATTATGGATGTGAAGTGTACAAGATTTTGACAGCGATTGGCTATGGGGCTGTAAGGACAGGTTGGAGTCTAGGATTATATATAACCCCCTGGCGTGAGGGAAGGGACTGATAGGTGTATTATTGATTTTTACAGAAAAAGTCAGGGTGGAGGGCGCAGGTGGGGGGAATATTACCATCTCGGTTTTGGAAAGATTTAGTTTGAGGAAGTGGTGTGACATCCATGTTGATATGTCCGTAAGTTAGTAATGTGAGAGGTGACTGAAGGAGTGAGGCGTTCAGTGGTGGGGCTAGATCAGGTGCTTTAAGTGTTTTTGTGTGCTTCAAGCTATGAATTTATCTACTTACGATGTTTGGGAATGGGATGGAGGGAATGCAGAAATATGGTGGATAGATATGAGCATCTAATTTTACAATATCTATGGTATTTTACTAATGGACAAAAATCAAAAATATTATACATTTAAAATATTTCTTTTTATGTACTACCAGTAAAGTCCCATAAAATCTTTGTTGGTGGGATAGTCTACTATGAAGGGATGGTGGTATTCCCTTAAATATTTCCATTTATTTGTTGCAAGTTCCTGCA